GTTGCTTTTTATTTATTTGTTTTTGAGTTGGAGTCTTACTCCGTTGCCCAGACTGGAGTGTAGTGGCATGCTCCCAGCCACCCCAGTGTTGACCTGCTGGGTTCAGGTGATCCTTCTGCCTCACCTTTCCTAGTAGCTGGAACTACAGGCGTGTGCTACCACGCTCAGCTAATTTTTGATTTATTGTAGAGACAAGATCTCGCCAAGTTGCCCAGGCTGGTCTCGAACCCACGGGCTCAGGCCATCCATTCACCTCGGCCTCCCAAAGTGCTGGGATTACAGGCTGAGCCGCCAAACCTGGCCCATCTTTTAAAAAATTGTAAAATATGCACAAAAATGAACCATCTTGACCATTTTCTGTCTCTGTGTGTGTGTGTGTGTATGTGTGTGTGTGTGTGTGTCGGGGTTTGACTCTATCACCTACGCTGGAGTGCAGTCTCATGCTCATGGCCACCACAGCCTCAACCTGCTGGGCTCAGGTGATCCTTCTGCCTCAGCCTTCCAATAGCTGGGACTACAGGCATGTTCCACCACACCTGGCTAATTTTTTGATTTATTGAAGAGACGAGGTCTCACTATGTTGCCCAGGTTAGTCTTGAACCCTTGGGCTCAGGCAATCCTCTTGCCTTGGCCTCCCAAAGTACAGGGATTACGAGCATGCACCACCATGCCTGGCTAATTTATTTATTTATTTATATTGTAGAGATGGGGTCTCACTAAGTTGCCCAGGCTAGTCTTGAACCCCTGGGCTCAGGCAATCCTCTTGCCTCTGTCTCCCAAAGTGCTGGGATTATAGGCATGAGCTACTGCACCCAGCCTATCTTGACCATTTTTAATAGAACAGTTCAGTAGTGTTAAGTGGATTCACCTTGGCTGAATTGTCTCAATCTCCAGAACTTTTCCATCCTGGAAAATCAAAACTCTATACCGTTTAAACAACCACTCTCTGTTTCCCCCTGGCAACCTCCGTTCTACTTTCTGTTTATATGGATTTGACCCTTCTAGGTACCTCATGTAAGTGAAATCCTACAGTGCTTGTCTTTTATGACTGGCTTATTTCACTTAACATAATGTCTTCCAGGATTGTCCGTGTTGTAACATGGGTCAAAATTTTCTTCCTTTTAAAAACTAGAGAGTATTCCATCGTAGGATATTCCATTTTGTTTATTTATTTTTTATTTAATTTTTGGAGAGAAAGGGTCTCGCTATGTTGTCCTGGCTGGTCTCAATACTCCTGATGTCAAATGATCCTCCTCTCTCAGCCTCCCAAAGTGCTAGAATTACAGGTGTGAGCAACTGCACCCAGCCACACATTTTATCAATCATCTGTCAATGGACACTCGGTGAGGCAATCACTTTTTGCTTGTCTTGGGCCTCCACTTAGCTTCGGAAAATGGTCTCTGGTCAATATGTCTGCAAGCTCCCTTAGCAGAACTTAACTTGTAGACTCCAGCACAACAGACAGTTGGTCACTGACGTCCTGGCATCTGCCCCACAAGATTCCATTCTTTTAGTGTCCACAGTGAGAACATTCTCAGCCCCAGGCCTCTGAGGCTGCTGGATCCATCCTCTGCCAAGGTCTATGCCCCAAGTCTCCTTGAGCTGCCATTGTCTTGCGAGTGGTTTGTTGTTGTTTTTGTTGGTTTGTTTGTTTTTGTTTTTCAGTTTGACTGCAAAACCCCACTGCTTCTGGTGGGAAAAGCTTCTTAGTTTACTCCTGAGACATCCACGTGGAGTGAACATTTAATTTAAACTGGGGAGCTTGGGGTGGCTGCAATTCAGTCTACACCCCTCTTGCTAAAGCAAGTGCCTTACTAAGGGGCTTACAGGCTCGCAGCATCCCTGCCTGGGCTTAGGGCCCCAGCCCCAGGCCCAGGGGTTCAGTCCTGCTATCCCATTTCCAGCCTTCCCTATTTCTTCTGAGATGCCAAGCAGGGAGCCATTGCCCCTGACCTAACTCTGCCTAAGCATTGCCCAGGCTCAGTTCTCCCTAGACTTTTCCAAGCCCCCACCTGGAATTACATGAGATTGCTGTGGACAGCCTCCTACCTACTGGATCCCCTTCCTCCTTTCAAACCCTTCTTTTGCTTGCTGGTCCTCTTTTTTTTTTTTTTGAGTTGGAGTCTCACTTTATCGCCCAGACTGGAGTGCAGTGGCTGCTCCTGGCCACCGCAGCCTCAACCTGCTGGGCTCCGGCGATCCTTCCGCCTCAGCCTTCCAAGTAGCTGGAATTACAGGCGCGCGCTACCACACCCGGCTCATTTTTGACTTATTGTAGAGATGAGGTCTCGCCAAGTTGCCCAGGCGGGTCTCGAACCCGCGGGCTCAGGCAATCCACTCACATTCAGCCTCCCAAAGGCGCGGGATTACAGGCTGAGCCACCGAGCCTGGCTAGCTGGTCCTCTTTTTACATGCTGACAGTCTGGGATGACAGCCCCTGGGGCCTCTGGCATGATCATGGGGCAGCCCCCTGCCTTTTCTGACCTGGAGAGCCCTGAGCATCTCTGGCAATAAGGGTGCAAAGGTGATGAGGACAGGCAGCATGCAGCTCTCCCTGTTCCCAGCAGAGACCAGCTGGCCTGTTCCCATCTGAGTCTGAGGTTCTGTGACTGTCTTTCTCCCCTGCCGCTCTGGCTGCGGACAGAGGTTGGCATTCACAGTGTGGTGGGGGTGGGGAGAGGAGGTGGTTGCGATCCCTCGGCTGGCCCTCGGCTCACCTACCCCATCTGGGCTCTTGCAGATTATGCCAAAGAGCACCTGGCTCAGCTGCAGGAGAAGGCTGAGCAGATCGCCGGCCGCATGCTCCGCTTCTCTGTCTTCTACCGCAATCACCACAAGGAATACTTCCAGCACGCCAGGTACGCACGAGGCTCCCGGCCATCCAGCTGGGCCTCTCCTCTCCCTCCCCCAGCCTTTTCTGCTCCCACCCTGGTGGTCTGAGTTCACCCCGACCCTAGCAGCTGCCAGACCCTCCTCTAGGGGCCCTGTGTCCTCAGAACACCAGGCTGGCTCTGAAGTGACCATTACTTTGGAATTGGACTCAGGGAAGGTCAAGAGCTCTGGGGTCCATGCTTACAAGTCCAGGTAAACGAGGTCTGGGTTTGACCCCCCTCTTTTTTCATGGGGGCCTACACCACAGGTTAGCTGTCTCTCCAATTCAGGCCCTGGTGCCAAAGGTGAGGTGGCGAGGAGAGCCCAAAATGAGAGCATTCTGAGCACAAAGGTTCTAGGGAGAACTCAGCTCTGTGAGGTGTTTTTTTATTTTTAAGAGGCAGGGTCTGCTCTCTCCCCCAGGATAGAGTGTAGTGGTGCAACCATAGCTCACTGCATCTTTGAACTCCTTTGAGCCATCTTCCCAAGTAGTTGGGACTACAGGTGCATGCCACTATACGTGGCTAATTTTTTAATTTTTGTAGAGGCAGGGGTCTTGCTATGTTGTCCAGTATGGTCTTGAACTCCTGGCCTCAAGTGATCCTCCTGCCTCGGTCTTCCAAAGCATCCTCCTGCCTCAGACTTCCAAAGCACTGAAATTAAGGGCATGAGGAACTGTGTCCAGCCATAGCTCAGTGGTTTTCAAACTGGATGCTGAAGAGTCTGCAGGCTCTGGGGAGGCATCTCAGGGAGCCCTTTAGAATGCTGCCAAGGGGTGGGGGAAGCTGAGGATGAGACCTGGAGCACCCCACACCTACGGTACAGCCCAAGCAACCTCAATGTTATTTGCCTGTGGCCCACCTATGTATAATTTCCTTGGGCGGGGAGAAGAGAGGGATTCTGCAGTCCAAAAAATGTTTGAAGATTGGTGGTGTGATCCAACACCCTCAGCCTACATCCGAGAAATCTAAGGCCAGAGCGGAAGCCAGTTGTCTGGTTGAGCCAGCGAGTCACTTGTCATTGACGACAGCCAGGACCAGGCAAGAGTAAGGCGGGACCAGGGATGTCCACCCTCCCCCATGCCTGCTGACATGGCTCCAAGTCTGTGTTCTTCTGAGGCTCAGCCAGGGCAAACTGCCACTCTGACTGTTTTTATCCTTGCAGTGAGTGGGGCAGGGCGTTTTGACCCTACCCCAGGGCAAGGAGGACCTGGAGTGGGAAGGGGCAGGGCAAGGGAAGGAGTCTTGATGTTTATATTAAAGAGAAGTCCCTTGCGGTGGCTCACATCTGTAATCCCAGCACTTTGAAAGGCTGAGACAGGAGGATCGCTTGAGTCCAGGAGCTCGAGACCAGCCTGGGCAGCATAGACCCCATCTTTACAAAAAATTTTTTAAAAAGTAGCTGGGTGTAGTGGCACATGCCTATATTACTCAGGAAGCTGAGTCAGGAGAATCGCTTGAGCCCATGAGTTCAAGGTTACTGTGAGCTATGATCACACCACTGCACTGTAGCCTGGGTGACAGAGCAAGACCTTTTCTCCAAAAATAGATAAAGAAGTGGCTCAGTTTGGGCTCCTTTATCAGCAAGAACGAGAGAGACAGGGAGTGCCCATGTGTGCCAGGCACCTTCCTTGGTGCCAGGATATAAAGGCATTGTCCACCCTTCTGAGAACCTTGGAGTCCATCAGAGAGACAGTGTGGAAAGACTTAATATAATCTTTAATGTAATTTTTGGGCAGAATTCAGCATCCTGCACCTAGGAGACAACCACATATTTGTCTAATGCAAGTGCTGCTATTTCTGGGGAAGGTGTTCCTGGAAGAGAGGAGGGAACACCGGGGCTGGGACTTGAAGGATGACTAGGAGTTTGCCAAGCCAGGTGGAAAAACATAAGTAGGCAGTCAGTCCAGGCAGAGGGAAGAGCACTGCAAAAGGAGAGCACAGAGGCAGGAGAGAGTGTATGTGGCCACCCCAGAGGATGCTATCCTGGGGACACGGGGGTAGCAGGAGGTGGGATGAGACAAGGAGGCTAGAAAGACCAGATCACAAGGGGCCTTGTTTTTCCTGGAGGCTCCATCAAAGGGGTTCCAGCTGGAGAGTGGCAGGTTCAGATCTCTCTCCCTGAAGGAGAGATCTCCTTCTCCCTGAAGGAGAGATCTCTCTCCAGGGCCCTGCCTGCTCCTGCATTCTGGAATGTTCTATCTGTGACTAGTGGAGGCGGCTGGGGGAGGGCCGGGAGCTGGGCTGGTGGCCTTCCTACACATGGCAGCCGAGCTTCAGCCCGGCTAACCAGGCCTCTTCTCTTCCCTTTGGCGCCCTCCCTGCGGCGGGCAGGACCCACTGTGGGAACACGCTGCAGCCCTACTTGAAGGACAACAGCGGCAGCCACGGCTCCCCGACCAGCGGCATGCTGCACGGGGGCTTCTTCAGCTGCAACACGGAGTTCAACACGGGCCAGCCCCCGCAGGACTCCCCCTACGGCCGCTGGCGCTTCCAGATCCCCGCCCAGCGCCTGTTCAACCCCAGCACCAACCTCTACTTCGCGGACTTCTACTGCATGTACACGGCCTACCACTACGCCATTCTGGTGCTGGCGCCCAAGGGCTCCCTGGGGGACCGCTTCTGCCGTGACCGCCTGCCCCTCCTGGACATTGCCTCCAACAAGTTCCTGACCTGCAGCGTGGAGGATGGGGAGCTGGTCTTCCGCCACGCCCAGGACCTCATCCTGGAGATCATCTACACTGAGCCCGTCGACCTGTCCCTGGGCACCCTGGGTGAGATCAGCGGGCACCAGCTCATGAGCCTGTCGACCGCTGATGCTAAGAAGGACCCCAGCTGCAAGACCTGCAACATCAGTGTGGGCCGCTAGGGATTCCTGGGGAGCTGGGGGGTGAGGGAGAGGTGACAGATGGGAAGGTGGAGGTGGGTGGCCCAGGTTCAGGGAGCTGGCTTTCTCTCCCCTGCCCCCCTGCTCACTCCACTCTGCCCGGCTGCCCTCCCCCCGCCCCTTGGCACTGGAGGCAACAGATGGCGGTCCTCTTTGGTAAGTGTGGCCCACCCCAGGCCTGGTGGACATGGAAGGCTTCTGAGCCTCTGTAGGTTGATGGGTGGGTTGGATTTCTGGAGAACTTCCCCCTTCCTGGTCTGGAGAACTTCCCCATCCTGCTGTTCTTTGCCTCACCCAAGTCTCTGTCTTCGGGAGACCTGCCCACCTCCCGGGCTCTCCCAGGGAAGCCTCCCTGGGCCAGGGCCCACGTGTAGCTTGGCTGCCTCTAATGGAGATGCAGAGAGCTGTGGGGCGCTTCCATAGCCCCACCCACCCCACTCAGGGCCAACCATAGAATGCCCCCTCCCCAGTGAGCTGGGCCTCGGGGGACCTCCCACTCCAGGCCCGGGGCCCTTCCCCCTATAAATAGTCTCCTGCACCGCCATGATACCCTGGCTGCTCCTTGTCCCAAAGAACCCTCTTCCTGCATGGGAGAGCCGTCCCTCCCTTTCTCCACCTGCCCACTGGGGACGCTCCTCCCGCTCTCTAGAAAGAGACCTCCTTTTTTCTCTTGGCTTTGGGGTCTTTGGGCTGTTGGGACTTTCCCTTCTTCTATCTGGAGATGACACACACCCCAGTATCCCTTCTCCTTGCTCAAGAGCGCCAGGGTCTGGACAGCAGCCACTGAGGTCGAGGAGGGGGAAGGAGACCCCTGAGACCCAGAGGTACCCCTTCCTCAGCTGGGAGTGGGCCACCTCGTGCCCTGATGGGGCCTGGCGTGGAACTGGAGAACTGGGGGCTTTTCCGAAGAGCCCTGGCACCCCGCCCGGCTGTGCGCTTTGCTCGCTCGCTCTGCCATGGTGCCGTGACTGTACTGTGCCTGTGTGTGAACTGGACTGTGGATTCTCCGCCCCTCCCCCACCCGATGGCACTGTCCACTCTCTCCTGGCCAACTCCTGGCTGGGAGCCCCTCCCCTGGAAGCCATTAATGAAGTCTTTCCTGAGCCCTCCCCCTGCGTTTTCACCTAGTTCCTACTGTTGCACAGGTCATGGGGGGGACTCCCTGAGATAAGCAAAGCAGGTGGGGAGAGCGGGGAGGGGCTGACAGGGGTGTCATCAGGAGGAGGAGAAAGCAGCCTCCACAATGACTTCCTCCGAGGTGACAGAGACTGTGGACAAGCAGCTGGATTTCTGTGATGAAGGACAGAAGGGGCCAGCAGGCTGTCAAGGCTATACCTTGGTGAGGGGGCAGGTGGACAGCTGGTTGCCTCTCCGCAGCCAGGGGGAGTGGTGTGATCGGCTGCCTCTTTGGGGTGGGTCTGGAGGCTCTGGGAGATGCGTGGAGAAGGAGAGAACACGGGCCCCAGACCCTTCCCCTTGTGCTGACAGCATGGCTGTGGGGGTGGCCTGATGTCCTCCCCTGCTCCCTGTCCTCCCTGGGCTGGGGGCACACCCGCCTGTGCTGTGCTTGCGATGTGCATCAATAAACCACCATGGCCTGAGGGCCCCGCCTGCCTCAGTGAATTCGGGCTGCTATGAGAAAATTCTGCAGACTGGGTGGCTTGTAAACAACAGGAACTTCTCTCTCGCAGTTCTGGAGACTGAGAAGTCCAAGACCAAGTTGCTGGTAGATTTGGTGTGTGGCGAGGGCCTGCTTCCTGGTTCTTAGAAGGCTGTCTTTTCACTGTGTCCTCATAGGGTGGAAGGGACAAACAAGCCCTCTTGGGTCTCTTTTATTTCTTATTTATTTATTTTTGAGTTGGAGTCTGGAGAACAGTAGCACGCTCACAGCCACCCCACCGTCAGCCTGCTGGGCTCAGGCAACCCTTCCGCCTCAGCCTTCCAAATAGCTGGAACTACAGGCACGCGCTACCATGCCTGGCTAATTTTTTATTTATTGTAGAGATGAGGTCTTGCCAAGTTGCCTGGGCTGGTCTCAAACCTGCTGGCTCAGGCAATCCACTAGCCTCAGCCTCCCAAAATGCTGGGATTACAGGCTGAGCCACCAAGCCCCGCCTGTGATTTTTATTGTAAAGATGAGGGCTCACCATGTTGCCCAGTCTGGTCTTGAACCCACGGACTCAGGCAATCCTCTCTCCTGGGCCTCCCAAAGTGCTGGGATTACAGGCTTGAGTCACTGCACCCGGCCTTGGATCTCTTTTATAACAGCCCCGATCTCATGTATGTAGAGTCCACCACCCCTCCTCACCTCCCCAGATTCCACATCCTAATACCATTATCTTGGGGGTGAGGGGTGAGGATTTCAACGTATAAATCCAGGGGGGCACACACACATCCTGACCATAGCACTGCCTCTCTTTGGGCCCCAGCAGTGTGGGTGAGTGGGACCATCCACAGAGAAGCTCAAATGCAGATGCCCCCAACAGGCCACCTGGAATTGACCCCAAGGGAACACCTGAATGCCACAGTGGGAGGCGGGACTTAGGATGCAGGGTTGCATCTCTAGCTCGCAAGGGACTTTGGAGGTCTCCCACATGATTTAACCAAGGCTCCCTGCCCCCCACCCGGAGTTCTTTCCACTGCAGCAACCTCCCATTGCTTCAGACCCAGATGTCACTGAATTTCCCTCTCCCAAGAGCCTTAGGATGCCCTCCCCCAGCAGGGCCTGTCATTTACAGATCTGAGTCACCTCTGCGTCTGCATCTATTATTATGGACTTACTGACATGCTCGTCTGCTGGAGTAGCAAAGCTTCTGAAAAATCAAAGTCCTCACCAACACTGCCTGACTCAGGGCCACATTAACATGTGTTACCAGAGCTTGGGGCACAGCCTCTGCATAGGAAGGAAAGCTGAAGGGCAGATGGTGGCCTCCTGAGGATCTACTATGTTCCAGGCACCAGGCTGGTGTTTTTACACACATTAGCTCCTTGAGTCTTCACAATGGCCCTGGGCAGTGTTATTTCTACTTAACAGATGAAGAAACTGAGGCACAGAGAAGGGTTGCCCATGTCTTACAGTCAGCAGGTGACAGTGCCCAAGCTTTGATTCAGAGACCAGAACCTTTCCATTTTCCTGCCCTGTGCCTGTCTGCCCTAGTGTATACCAGGGGCCGCCTGGGACAGTCCTGTCTCAGACATTCCCAAGGGAACTCTCTTCCAGCTAACCAAGGTTGTGCCTAGTTCCAGTATATCACCAGGGGGGGCTATGGAGTCACAAATGCCATGGAGGCTTTTATTTATTTATTTATTTTTTTGAGTTGGAGTCTCACTCTGTCGCCCAGACTGGAGTGCAGTGGCCACTCCCGGCCACCGCAGCCTCGACCTGCCGGGCTCCGGCGATCCTTCCGCCTCAGCCTTTCGAGTAGCCGGAATTACAGGCGCGTGCTACCACGCCCGGCTGATATTTTGATTTATTATAGAGATGAGGTCTCGCTGCCCAGGCGGGTCTCGAACCCGTGGGCTCAGGCAATCCACTCACCTCAGCCTCCCAAAGGCGCGGGGTTACAGGCTGAGCCACCGAGCGCAGTTGAGGCTTATTTTGAAAGGAGTAGTGGGCAGCTCTTGGAGTCTAGAATTTCGAGGATGGGCAGTGACTCAGGGTCCTTCTCCTGTCTCACAGGACTCCCCACTTCTGGCTGAGATGTTTTCAGACTACTCCAGACAGGCAGACTTCAGTCGTCCTGTTTTGAACTCTTTTGGCTTTCTTGGGAGAAGACATTGACTCCCAGGGTCCTCAAGGTGGAAGACAAAGGTAGCAAAAGGGGGTAGGGGTGGGGGTGGGGATATCCATGCAGGTTTCTCCTGAGAGCCTGCTTCTCCTTTCCCAGTCCAGATGGCCAGTCCCTGGCACACAGCCAGCCAGCCCTGAGTTGCTCAAAGCGCTGGTCAGATGGAGCTGGGTCAGGCGTCCACCAGAGTCCGCCCTGGGGTCCTTACTGGCCTGGGGTCTAATTTGACCTGGTGGAAGGATGGAGGTCCACGTGGGATTGCACACATGCCCACACGTATCCTTCTGGGCCAGATTTAGAGGACAGCCTAGAAAGCCACAGAGTTCCAAGGTAAGGGACCACCCTGAACCATAGCTGCCACTGTCCAGCTGAGGGGTCCCAGTTAGCTCTGTTAGCAGTGCAGGCAGCAAGGGAAAGCAAGGCAGTGGCCACGAAAGGGGGCTCTGGGGTATAGGTGGGATGTTTCGCTGTGCAGTCGCAAATATACAGATACACCTGACACAAAACCAGGGTGCACACTTGTCCCCAACACACACACACAACTCACACGTTCTCCTCTGCTCAGGTGGGAACCCACCATTCTCTGCCCATTACTTCCCTCCTGGCCAGCATCTTCCCTCTTAATCCCGGGCAACCCACACAGCAGTGGGAGGGGAGGTGTCCACTCCAAGAACACTCACAGCTTCACCGTGTCTCTTTTCCAGGTCAGGAAAAGAGGTGACTGGGGTCCCAGGGAAAGGGACGAAGAGGGACCCCTCCTCGAAAGGGAGGGAGGCCTTCAGGAAGCCTAGCAGAGGTGATCGGCCATAAAACAGCTTGCCCACAGCATCTGGAGGAGATTGGAACCAGATGTTCACGGGGTGGGGGAGGGGAGCGCATTGAGATGGAGGGGGTAGGGGCAGGAGCTCCGGTTGGCGGGAGGCTGGGTTGAGGGGCTCTGGGGAAAACATCTGGCTGCTTTCTCCCCAACTCTCCAAGTCAGGCACTGTTATTTTTGCAAACCGGAGCAGCAAATCTTTTCACAGATTCTAGAATCAGCCTTGTGTGTAGGGACAGTCAAATACAGGGTGTGGTTGGGAGGTGCCCAGAAAAGCTACCAGCTTGCCAGAAATATGTCCCTTGCTGCCCCAAACCCCTCCCTGCTGTGGGTTAAGCATTGCCCCCTCTTGGCAGCTCTGCACCAAGCTTCTGATGCATGACTGGAAACTAGTGTACCCAAAAGTTTCCTTTTAGTGCAGGAATAGAGTAGTCCAAGAACCAGAAAACTGCCTGGTAGAGGAAAGGAAATGCAGACCCATTTACTAAGAGCTTCCAGGGGCTGGGGAAAAGTGGCTCATGCTGGTAATCCCAACACTTTGGGAGGCTGAGGCGGAGACATTGCTTGAGGCCAGGAGTTCAAGACCAGGTTGGGCAACATAGCTAGACTCTGTCTCTACACAAAGTTTAAAAATTAGTAAAAAAAAGATTAGCACGTGGTGGCACGTGCCAGTAGTCCCAGCTACTTGGGAGAGGATCCCTTGAGCCCAGAAGTTGGAGTTTATAGTGAGCTATGATTGTGCCACTGCATTCCAGCCTGGGCAGCAGAGTAAGACCCAGTCTCGTTAAGGAAGGAAAAAAAAAGCCTTTTATTTGGCACACAGTGACAGGCTGTCTTCAAAGGTTATCTCATTCCTTCTTCACAATCATGTAAGCTGTTGTTATCATCTCAGGTTTATAGATTAATAAACTCAGGCTCAGAGAGGTTAAGTGACTTGTCCAAGGTCACACAGTCACCAATTGGTAGAGCTAGTTTTCGAAATGGGCTTCATTTGCTCTCAAAATTGTGACTTTCTTACTACTAAGAAATCTGTGGGGTTGGGGGAGGGGCAGGAAAGAGGAGAAAAAAGAAATGAGGGACAGGGCCAGGTACCAACCTTTCCTTATTTTACAGATGAGTCAACAATAGGCCCTGGATGCCCTCACACCCCTGCTGAAGATCCCAGTGGCTTCAATAGCCTGGTTCCCTGAACTCTGACTGACAGGAAGGATCCTGGGGATAGGCAATAAGTTTGAGGAGCAGAGACCCCGGAGAGGGGCAGCTGGCCACCGTCACAGAGCTAAGCAGGGCAGAACCAGGTCTCCCGACTGCCAGGCTCACGCTGTCCTCTCCACCGAGGGCCCCAGAGGTGCTCCCAGACAGAAGTCTGAGGTTTGAGGCATGTGCTTACCTTGACCTACCGGGGTTGCGAGCATGGGGTCAAGGCAGCTCCGTGCCGCCCTTCCAATGCTTGTCAGGTGCTCAGGACACAGAGGGGCCCAGGGACCTCCAGGGCTTGGTCACAGCTAGGAGAGCAAGTATGGGATCACCTGAGCAGGCTGGCAGCGGCACTGGCGTGGGCCTCCACTAGAACCCTCAGTAACCAGACAGCGGGGTGGGCTGAGCTCAGAAAACACGTTAACGTCCTACATTCTGAACGTGTATCAGCAGCCTGCAGTCAGCTCTGAACAGCATCCACCACTCCAAGGCACAGCTCCCGGCTCCTCCCCCTCCTCCTCTTCTCCCTCCACCATCTTGTTTTCCTCGGGCATTCTCTGGCCCCCATCCTCAAAGTGTCCCTCTTCCTCCTCGTCTTCTTCGTCTCTGTCCTTCTCCCTATCTCTCTCTCGCTAAGCCTGCCCATCATCTGTACTTTGGGTGCCCACTGCCTGATATCATGCAAGCGTGGATAGCAGGACAGACATCTGGGCATTCAGTCAGGCCCGTACCTCTACTACTTGGCTGACCAAGAACAAGAATCCAGAACTGCTGTGCGAACTCACTTGGTGGTCTTCAAGATTTGCACCCACT